TGTTCACATGAGGGGAGTTAGGAAATCAGTAAAAATTTCACTTATTATTGGTTATTAACACACTGATTTTAATCATGACTGACATTTCTGAGAATATATTGCCCAAGATTCCACAGCTCACTTAATAAACCATAATTCCACATTAACACATTAATATCATATGGAGGTTTCACTGGTGTGTGAAAAAATAAGTCTAGCTTGTAGGATATTGCATTGTTACTTCCTTAAAGTCTTTTCTTGTATGTGGGCAAATATTGATTTTTTTTTTTTTTGTTCCTGATGGTAACATTGAGATTTATTGATCATTTTGGAAAAAAAAAGAAAGTCAATTTGTTCCTCCACAGTACACCAAACCCTGACAGTTAGTGAAATATGCAGGTGGCACATGGACTGTGATGTGTGACCTGCCTGTCTTCACAAATATTGGAAAAATTATTTATTTTATGAGTTACTTCTTTGCAATCAAGAGATTACTTTCAACCTCCAGAATAAAAACCTCTGATGGTCCTACAGTAGGTCCCATATGTTGCACATAGTACATGTGTCTGCTAAATAAAGAGTATTTGTTATTTAACACCCATAAAGCTAAGAAAGATGGACTCTGTTTACACTTGGGATCTATTTAGATAACATTGTTCAGGTTTCTAAAGCTGCTCAAGTTTTTCTGAATAAAAAAGAATAAAGCTATTTTTGCAGTATTAAGTTAGGACAGTCATCTTAATGCTGATACAGAGACCACAAGACTCGGAGAGCATGTCAAATCAATGCTTAAGAAAACAGCATTAAACTTTCTAGTTACAAGGAAGCATAAAATCGTACCAGTGTCTTTCTTTACTTTTAAACGGTTGTGTTGTTTTGTTTTGTTTGGCATTTTTGTCTGGTTTTTTTTTCATACTTTAGCCCTTAGTTTATTAAAAACTAAGTATTCTAAGACAGCGGATACATACTGTCCTTAAGTTTAGTAAAATTGCAGTTTTAGGTACTATGGAAGCAGACCCAGTTACAACCTGATACCCTGTCACCCTGTGAGTTTACCTAAAAAAAAGTATGCAACTTTGGAGGAATACATTGCTTTGGAATATTCTCTTGCAGACAGTGCATCCCATCCTGTCTTGACCTTGCTTGATGAAAAGAGAACTGAACCTGATTGAAAGTGCACCCTCTTCCTAAAGGACCTTTATTCCAAATAGCCTAGATGAGAGAGAGCAAAAAAGATAGAGATATGCTTGCTTCACACAACAAAAGATCTCACATACTGGCTTGGCTTTAGTTGTATCTGGAGCTCTTCTTGCAACAGTGTGAACATCACGAGCTAGAACAGGACTTGCCCGGTGCGGGAGCTCAGAGAATATGCAATGTACATTTTGCATCTGTTTTTGCTATTCTGCATTTTGCAACAATCAGCAGACAAAAAAAGCCATGAACAGTTCAAAGGGAGTGAGTGTGACAGAGACAAAAGTTTTCTTTCTCCCAGAAGAGTGACTTGAGCAGGCAAGTCACTGAGTCTCCCTCTCTCCTCTGCGTGACTGGTGTATCTCTGCCAGCAGTGTTGCCCTCCCCCACAAAACCCTGTCCCATGGATTGGTGATTTGGACTGTCTCCTGGCATGTAGGAACTGTGGATACAAAACACTACAAGCTGGGGAAGGCTCTGGTTACCCACTTTTTGAGCAGTGATCCAGTTTATAGTATTCTGCTAATTCATGTTCATTCCATGAAATCAGCTGAAGTTGAATGGCAGCTCATGCACCAAGTGGAGCAAGACCCAGGTGTTGCAGTTTTCTTACTCTGTTAGAAGACCAGCTGACCCCTTTCTCAAAACTGAGAATTCATGGGTTGCTATCCATGGATACAGTTATATTTACAGCTGTCTCTCAGAAGTTCTTGTCACCATTTTAAAATAATAAAATAATAAAATTATGAAGTTTTTAATTTAAAATATGCATACATTTAATATACAAAATTGTACAAATTGTACATTTGACTAACATAGAAAAATACATCTTGTTAACAAGATAAAATGTCAACGTATCTTACATAATTTAAGTGAGAGTTACAAATCTGTGATAATCATCAAGTAGACTTTGTGACTTCATTACAATTCTGTATTGTCCCTACTTACAATTAAAATGAATACATATGTACAGTTGATATTAATGACAAAAGTCTTAGAGTGGAAAACTGCTGAAAAGTTACCCAGAAGATTTTAATGGAACAGTTAAAATATGAGTGGCCTCTCTCATACTATTGAAGCTTCTCACTTAGCTGAAATTAATTTGACACCCAGTTACAGAGTGGTCATGGGTCAGAGTTTAAACCTTTTTGCATTTATTTACAAATATCCCTCCCTCCCCAGCCTAGCTGGTACACCTGCTTAATAAGTATCACACCATAAACATCAGCCTTTTTGTGCATTCTTTGGTATCTCGTTATATGAATTTGTGGCCCTAAAAACTGATCTTCATGACTTCTGGTTACCATCCCTCTGTTGGCTTTGCAGAGTTAAATCGCTGTACAGCACTAGAGCTCAAAAGCCAAGAACTTCATACATTATTCATCCCAAATTACTCCTTAATACCTCAGGAGGTGGGGAAATATTTTTGTTTCAGTCAACAAATATGTGCAGTAAGTCTTCACTTCTTGATTTACACTGTTTTCTTTTCCAAGTTCCAAACAAAAGGTAGAAGTGTAATTTATAAATAAGCTATAAAAATCTGTTCCATGCTGGGCCTTGTCTCACATACTGCGAGCCATGTGATGATTTTCTTTAAACTATTTACATATTCTTTAATACTTCCTTGTCATCCCAGGGAGCAAAACAGAAGACCACCACCAGTCTGATTTTCGGGCCTTCATTTTTTTTAGTTGTTTTTTTTTTTTTTTTAGCAAATTGCTCTTATTTCCTAGAAGATAAAATTCACTCATGAGCTAAAAGCTTATTCAATTTTTCCTAAGAGCTGCTTAGAACCATCAGGGAGTACATGAATTGCCTCATGCAAGCTTTTTTGGCACAGGAGTTGTTTTCATCTGTTAGCTACATTTTCCCTCTTTTTCAAAAAGACCAAGGTTCAGAGAGTAGAAAAATGTAGTTGTTTGGCATTGGTTAGTGCACACTGCACAGTAACCTCTCACACTGGAATTTACATTTGAATATTCATATGCCCATAGCAAATAGTCTGTGTTACACAGAGAAACAACAGTGAACAGAGATTTATACCATAGATCCAAACAACTCCAAATCAAGGCAGGTCTCCACAACTACTAATCTCTCTTTTCTTCCCTTATGTGCATAAACAATGTTAAAGAGAGCATGATGCCCATGTGTCTATCACTTGTGAGAATTTATTAAGACAAGTAGAAGCAAGCATGAAATATTGGTCCCAGGGAAGCAAGTGGAAATTTGCCAGTCACTTCAGTGGTACAAGCATTTCATCTAGTATATTTAAACTTTCTCCATTTTTTTTTCTTTTTTTTTCTGGCTTTAACTGCAACTTACAACTTTCTTAGTATTCATGGATCTCAACAGTAGAATTTAAGTTAGCTACATTTTTAATTCACATCCTATATAAGAAACAATATGCTCTCTTTTCTAACATTTGTACAGGGGCAAAAAGTCCTGTCCATAATCCCATGGCTACTGATTTATAATGCAAATATATTTGGAGCCAAAGGCACAATATATTTTGAAGCAATTCTGCTAAAGCCAGAAAGAGGTTTGAACAAGTTTCTGTAATCCTAAGGTCTGTTCCCCCTCTGCCTCCTTAAGGCACTAAAGGATTTCCAAAGGATTAGTGGCAAACCCAGCATGCACATGTCCCTCCCTCCACCCCACAACAACAGTAAATTCAAATACTAAAAACCTTCATCTGCATGTGAGAAATACAGGCAGATTTATTAAATACAAATCAGACTTTCCACTATTCAAAAGGCCACAAGGACAAACATCAGCCATGCCTTAGCAGGAGGTTTATCCTAGGAACTCTGCTGTGTATATGAAATATTTCCCAGCAACTGTATTATTCTGAATGTAACATGATTATTATGCTGGAGGCAATCATTTTACTTTCAGCATTTGCCATCCACAGAGGTGTGAAGAACAGAATTTGGGATTTAAAGGTTGTGTAAGGAGCAACCTGTAAGCTATATTTTCAATATCCTCCAATGGTCTATACAGTACAGTATACGTAAATAAGTGAACTGCCAAAGAAATAATATTTTCCGTGTAACACTGCCCATTTTGTCTATTTAAGGTGACAGAAGAAGATCATATTTACTTACAAAGAACTTTGCAGCATCTTAATTTTGACTAAAGAATTTGGTCAAAGCAGTATTGTGCATATAAAGCCATCAGAACAAAGTGCCCAATTTTGCATTCTGTGAAAGTTTAACACAAAATGACAACACGTTTAAAGCATATCCTGGCACCTTTATCATAGATAGCATATTAAACAAGTTAACTTCTGCCTAGTGAAAGAAAGTCAGAATCTATAACAAGTAGACAACACTTTTCACTGTAAGGCAACTAGAAACTAATAGCTAGGCTCTCCATCTTAGCTAGCAATCTCACATTGAAAGTTTACTCCTCTCTTACAGTGATTTGAGGTAAAGTTGGGATTTTAATTCCCAACCCTCAGCCACATGAATTGCACCCACTAGTCTATCAACTTAATTAATAAACAGACTTTTCCAATATCAGTGAGACAATTTTCGTATTAGGAGGTGGTAGAATTTCAAGGACATGAATGTGGTACAAACCGCAAAGAATAAAGTGTGTTCTACATTCCTTATGCTAATTGTTCTAAAATGAAACCAAAAGGCAGAAAGCCTAAGATGTTACAAAATGGACAGCTTCTTCATCAACATTTATAATTTATGGTGGGAGATTATGCATAAATACTAGGAAAGAGGCATGATATTTTAGTTCAACACTTAATTCAGAAGGAAAAAGTAGGGTTTAATTGCTTGAGTGTTGTAAAAATGATGTATGTTTTCAGGTGGATAGTATGCAAATGGATAGAAACTTATACATATGTCATTGCTTTATTTTAGGAACTTGTGGTTAAGTTTCAAGTGTTACCATGACACCATGTTATCTTGTTACTAATCGTGATCTAGAAATGCACATTACATTAATCTGATTTGGGATTCCACGGTTTATTATTCTTCTGCTTCCTTTTGAAGTATATCTGTAATTGCTGGGCAACTAAGCATTGCGAAGACAGCACATCCTAGCAGTTAGCTCAACATTAAAAAAAATAAAAATGAAAATACAAGTCATAAAACAGTTATCAAAACTGAAAGTGCATCACAACATAAGAGGCAGTTTGAGAGCAGTACCCACGGCTGCTGCCGTTCAGGTCAGGACGAGTATTGCCGCTGACTTAACAGTGCTGTGTGCCTTTAGTTACAGAATGGATGGATGTACACATACAACCCCTGATCCACAAGTCTTGCGCCTGTATCCGCATCTCCCTGCCTTCAAAAATGATACTCGGAGATGAGCAGTAAGGGGTTATGGGTGAGTAATCTGTAATGTGCAGTGTGATTGCAAAATGTGTTTGCACCATGTGTGCTATTACCAGCCAGTGTGCACAAACACACCTATTTCAGGAAAAGCATGTATGCCCGCAAATGACTTTTCTGAAAGTTAAATTCAGTGTGGCCTATTCATGCGGTTGAAATACTCAGAGTATTAGGACACAGCACTCTGATGTTCCAAGTGCCTCTCAGCACACGTGAAGTACATTCCCAATTCCTACTTACCCTTGTAAAAATGCCATTCTGTCTCATTTGCTAAACAGTTTGTACCCTCAAGTATGTGCCCTCAGAAATACTAAACATCCCAACCCAGATCAAAGGCTCTTTCAGAAATTCTCAAAACCATACGAGGCTGAAGATACCTACATGCCCATGCAGGCAGACCCATGAACACAGAGATTGTGCTTAACTTGGTAATTGCTTTAAAATGCAAATGCTGAGATCCCAAGAAAGCAAAACGACACTCAGTCTCAAACCACACAGAGGGTTGGCCCACATGACCAGCTTCCACTACAGGAGGTGGCTAAAACGTCGCAGATGGTAATTTAGGGCAACTTCTCATTTTTTTCACATGACGTAGCAGCTGCAGTCACCACCAGGGCAAAGCACATTTCATCAGTCCTTGGGAGCTCTACTGCTTCTTCTGTGTGACTGATATGTTCTTTCCTGGACAAGAGGAGGGAGGGAAAAAGAAAAAAAATGAAGGGAAAAAAAGACAAAAGCATAAGATAAGTATCTGGATTTTCACAATTTAAGGATTTGTTTGTTATTCATTCAAGGTCAAAATGAAGCATTTGGGAAGCTCTGTGCCTAGGTGCTTCCATACAAACATATCATGTTGGCAGCACATTTTAGAAACTGAACTGTTCAAAACCTATTGAGACATTCTCCCATGATTTACTAAGATGAAAAGTACACGCCATACTTTTCCCTTTTGCTACTCCTTCTTGTACACAAGACAAACATGCATTTGTCAATATGGAAATAAACACTCCCTGCCATCTTCCCAACACTATTCCATAACTCCCTTGGCAGGGATCTACAAAAGTAGTCTCTTGGATAAAAATCAATCCAGGAATGAAAGCCATCATAAATCCAACCTTCCAAGTAAGTCCTATTTCTATGACTTTTCTCAGAGAAGTATATATCATTTGAATCCTTCCTCAGATACTAGGTTTCAAGGCCTGCAAAATATTGTCAGGCTGTCATTATTACTGTTAAATATCACCAGTGATGCACTGCATGCATACTTAACTCTGGCTGAAACTTGATGTCTACTGGAGAAACATACCTCTTAGTACATGAGGAGTGTGGAAAATGGTAATAACATACGGAATTTAGAAAACTTGTATTGTGTATCATCATGGCTGGGCTTCGCGAACAAAGATTTGGGAAGGCTCTATCCACATTTGTTACAGGCACGTTGGTGACTTATGAGGCCAATACGAGACAGACATGTCCGATTGCAAAAGGCACAGCAGAAAGACTCCTTAGATGGTATATTCTGCAAAACACGGTTCTTTCTGCGTTGCCTTTTCTCCTCGAGAGTGATCCTGCGTGTGTTCTCAAAGGAGACAGCAGCGTTATAGATGGTGTGTCTCCAGACCTCCTGATTGGAGGTCAGAGTAGACCAGTTATGTTGATCAATATGGCCAAGGCTGAGATGTTGTTTCAGGGAGTCCTTGTATCTTTTCTTTGGGGCTCCTCTCTTGCGGCAGCCGGTGGCAAGTTCACCATAGAGCAGGATCTTAGGGAGGTGGTGGTCCTTCATCCTGGAGACATGCCCTGCCCAACACAGCTGTGTTCTCATCAACATGGCCTCTATACTTGTGACTGCTGCTTGTTCTAGAACAGATGTATTGGTCACATAATCTGACCAGTGGATGTTTAAGATTGAACGGAGGCAGCGTTGATGGAAGCGTTCTAGGAGATGCAGGTGGTGGCAGTAAATGACCCATGATACAGATCTGTATAAGAGAATAGACAGCACTATGGCTCTGTAAACACTGATCTTTGTACTTTTCTTCAAGTGTTTATTACACCATACTCTTTTGTGGAGCTTTCCAAAGGCACTATATGCCTTTGCCAACCTGTTGTCTATCTCCCCGTCAATCTTACCATCCGAGGAGATGAGGCTGCCTAGGTAATTAAACTGCTGGACTGATTTGAGTTTTGATTGGCCAATGGTGATGTGAGGATGATGGGGGACTTCCTGAGGTGCAGGTTGATGGAGAACCTCTGTCTTCTTTAAGCTGACTTCCAGCCCAAAGAGCTCAGCAGCATCTGCAAAGCAGGATGCTAAACGCTGCAGAGCTGCTTCTGTGTGGGCGACAAGGGCGGCGTCATCAGCATAAAGCAGCTCCCGGACAAGATGGTTTAAGGTCTTGGTGTGGGCCTTCAGTCGCCTTAGATTGAATAGACTTCCATCAGTATGGTATCGAATGTAAAACTTGTATTGTAATTATTATTATAATAACCAACTGGTGGTAGTAATTAACTGTCATTACTAAAACATGTCCCATTCACCAACATGCTCCTCAAAACAGAAAAATTAAAAACTGCAAAAGAAGAGAAACTTTATGGCTTGTACTTTAGGATGGAAAGGTTTTTTCCAAGTACGAAGAAAAGAAATTAAAAGAAGTCCTGCAGAGTGGGGCAAGGTAATAAAGGGGAGGTCCTTATTTTTGGAGAAGCAGCTAGATGGGCTATTGTAGGACACAAAACCAGTGAGATATGCAAAAGTCAGTCACTGAGCAAAAAGAGTGCCAACTGGGCAGGAGCACATCAAGGAGTCCTAGTGATGAGAGGCATTTAGAGCCCTTACATATCTCCTAGTTCAAATCTCTGTCTTGGATTAGAAGGTGGAAAATGTTCAGACTTGCTTCTGAACAACACCAGAAGCTTTCTGCAACCTTCATAAGACATTATACATTATTTCTGCCTCTGCTGTAGGTGGATTCAAACAAAACTGGTTTTGCAATTTCTTTGCATTTCTTCTTTGCATTTTCTAATAAAGCTCCAGGATGTACTGCAAACAAAGAAAGTCCATGGCAGTTCACTCTTATCTCCGGGTAGAGAAAGGGAACGCTACTAGAGCCTCCATAGATCATCTTCTTTTTAATTAATGTCTTTGTAGTCCAAGTGCAATCAAAACAACAACCAACAGAACACACTTTCAACCTTTGCTATCCACATCTTCCAAGGATTTTTCAGGACATCAGATACTTCTGCATTCATAATTAATATTACAAAAAGAAATATGTAACAGCAGAGCTGGTTTTGTATTTTGGGATAGTCTGAAATACATTCCTGTCTTTCCTTCTAGTCATACATGAAGCCTGTTGTCTGTGATCCCATCACTGTACATAGGCACTGGAGAAGATCAGAAGGGTGAGTCTCTATGTCCTCCTAAAATGTAGCCTTATTTTGGAAGACAGAGAGGTTGGAATTTTAGTTCCTCAATTGCTTGCACAGAAGATACTCATTGTTGTCAGTTGTCTGTTTACTGACTTGTTCAAATGCCAGAATGTCCCTAAAGTATCAGGTGCAAAAACTAGTGTGGCCAGAATAATGGAAATCTGATTCAAATTGCATTAATTCGATGATCTTATGGTTTTTTGTGCACTTTATTGATCACGTCTTTTATTAATCACCAATTTAAATTTAAACTAAATTCTCTAATTTTCCAAAATTTAGGATAAAGAATATGTGCCAAACATGCACTGCTAGACTAAGAAACATTTACAAATGTAAAAGTCAAAATTTGCATAATATTTCCTTCAATTTTCATTATTTTTTTCTTGAAATGTTAGCTGCCAATTATGTTTCCCTTCTTGTTTCATCAGACTCTTTGCTTTCACATTCTTTTCATCCTCTTTGCCTGTCCTTGCTCCTTCCTGTGAGATGTTATTCATCCCTCCTTTTATTCTCCACCTGAAGTCTTTATGAAACCTTGTGCTCCTTGCAGTCTTATTTCCCTGACATATTTATCCTCCACCCTTTTCTTATTCTTTTTCTTCATAACACTTATCTATCTAAGCAGTATGGTAACATAAACATAAACCACTAGTGAATTGTTTTGTAATTACTCTGGTCAGAGGAAGACTGTGTTGTGAAATGCTTGAAGAAAATAAGAAAGATCTTCGTGATGTCACTTTACAAAAGAAAAATATCAACAAAACATTTCCAGGGCTTAAACACAAAGCTGCAGTTTCCAACCATGCAACTCAGTGATTAAAAACCAGCTGAGTCTTTATCAATAATGGACCTAAAAATTTCAACATGGGTATTTCTGATGCTCAGAAATTTGTTGTCCTATTCTTTGGTAGGGCTAAAGCACACGGTTGAGCAATGATGCAGAGGCTGGGCTTGTGCTCCTTCACATCACAAGCAAAATCAATTTCAGTCACCAGTACAAAGAACTGCTAATGTAGAAGGTCATTAAATAAAACTGACTTGTCTGTGACATTGGAGCCTTAAAGGAAACCTTGTACATAAAAGTGATGACTATGCACTGCTCTCTAAGCCAGGACCGAATCATTTCCAGCATAACAAAGATCAGTGATCCATATTCATGCACTCACTTGATGTTCTCCAATCTTTTACCACCCCTCTGAGCCACCAGCATTTATCTTTTCTAGCTGCTCCCAGTCCTTCACCTCTGTACTTGTTCATCCTGTGCTAAGTATCAGGAAACTGTAAGATCAGAGGAAAGAATCTCAGATCAACCTATTCAGAGCAGAGTCAGTTTCAATGTTAGAATTTACTTAGCCAAATCTTGAAAACCTTCTTGGAGAATGCACAGCCTCACTGGGCAGCCTCCCACTGCTCGGCTGTTCTCATGAGGTAAATACTTTTCCTATATCCAGTCTGAACTTCTCTTGTTTCCTCTTATGCCCACTGTGTCTCACCCTCTCACTGTGCCCCACTATGAGGAGCCTGGCTCCATCTTCTCTGTGATTCTGTGATTCTCAATTGCTTCCTTACAGACTCAGAAAGGCTGCTGCGAGGTCCCCCCAAAGCCGACTCTTCTCCAGGGTGAACCAGCATAGATGCCTTGGCCTCTCCTCACAGGGCAAGAGCTCTACTCCCTCAAGTATCTAAACTACCACTTTTAACGAAGCTCAGCTTGTTCAGAGATAGATGATACAAGGAATACAAAGTTAAAAATAGTACTGACTGCTCTGCATAAGCTCATCCACCTCAGTTCATTCTGGTGGAACAGAACTAGTGCTGACCATGCACCTCCTCCTAAAGACGGCTGTCCTGTTTGAATCCTTGACTCCAGTTAATTCCCTGTAGAGCAGGAGTCTGTGCCTACTGCTAGGGTCCATGGTCTTCATCCCTTGCAAAGTATAGGGTGGATGGAAGCCATGTTCCTTCCTTTAAGAACAGAAGTAAAAGCTTTTCAAAAATTTTCAGAGCATCCACCAAAGTTGGAAAGGAATGAGTCAATATAGAGACTTTTAAGACAAACAATACTGGGGCTGGAAGGACAAAAACTAAGAGCTGCAGGATGGTACACACATTCCCAGAATTTCTATGGCATCTTCAGAGAGTGCCTATGCTCATTTTTAGAATCATTTAGATTGGAAAAAACTTTTCAAGTCATTGAGTCCAACTGGAATGAATGAACACACAGGATCATTTGAAAGAAGATATGAAAT